AGTGTATGTAAGGATACTGTGGACAGGCGTTTGATAAATCCGAGGACCCGATTGTGTGTCATTTGTTTCTTTCGTTTAATAATCATTGTATTCAAACACGAGAGAAGAATCTCGACGTCCGCCGCGTCGGCTGTGGCCCCGAACTCAGCCAACTTGACGTACAGTTCGCTGTAGAAGCGCTGAAAGTCTATGTTGAGGGCGTGTCCCTCGCGGGACAGTATTGTGAACACTGTGTGCAGACAGTGTAATGTCTGGTGAGAGTCGAGATGTTTGTCACGAATCAATTCGTAAAGCAATGATATCAAGTCGAAGAAGAACTCGACATTAATTAATTGCGCGAATTTGGACAGTCCTTCGAGCACTGGTGTCAACAGAGCTTTGAACCACTTGTGGTCGTCTGTGAGTTGGCTATTGTCGCCAAACATGAGCTCCTTTTGGTGTTTCAAGACTCGGAAATAAGTGACAAATATTTGATTCAGAATTTGAGTGTGAAAATCAAGTTTCCGGAGTTGACTCTCTTGTGCCTCCGTTTCCAACAACTGATTGTCCAGTTTTTGCATTCGTTTATTCCGTTTGCGATCTTTGCGAGACATCAGATTCAATCGGATCCGCATTTTCCTCATGTCTTTCTTATTCAACTCTTCCTTCTGTTTCACTTCTTTAATCCGAAGCGACAAAAGTGTTTTCAAAACCTTTGGATCTAATCGATAGTCGCGTTGTTTCACCAGTTTTGCGGTCAACTTCACCGCTTCCAACGATATTTCACCCAATTTGTCGGTTCTGTATATCCTCTCAACCGTTTGGCAACACATGTCCGCTAAGTCTTTGTGTCGATTATTAGCCATCATTTGAACGATCGCTTCAACCAATTGTTGCCGAAAGTTGAAGTGCGGGTGACTTAAGACCAGTTGAGACATACATTTAATGCCAATCGTTGCCAAACGATGTCTGGCCTTTTGGGAGCTCAACATCTCTTCGTAAAAGNCTGTATATCCTCTCAACCGTTTGGCAACACATGTCCGCTAAGTCTTTGTGTCGATTATTAGCCATCATTTGAACGATCGCTTCAACCAATTGTTGCCGAAAGTTGAAGTGCGGGTGACTTAAGACCAGTTGAGACATACATTTAATGCCAATCGTTGCCAAACGATGTCTGGCCTTTTGGGAGCTCAACATCTCTTCGTAAAAGTTGGACTTTTTGGCCGCCTTACCGGCGCTGACGGCGTCCACCATTCGCTGCAATCGATTCAAATACAGTCGATATAATTGTATTAAACTCTTCTCGTATTCGCGCAAACGTTTGGTCTGTTTCTTGAGCTGAAAATTCTTCTTCCGACTGTTCTGTTCGTCTTCCTCTTCGTTGATCTTCTCCTTCAGCCTATAGTTCGGCAGAATATCTCTGAACACTTCCAGCGCCGCCAACGCCACCATCTTCTGGATGGAGAAGAACACGAGACCAAACTCCGGGTCGTCGGCCTTAATGTCGAACATCGCCAACAGATCCCGCAATCGATTCATATTGATCTCCGGATGTGTGATAACAGCCGTGGAATAGCCGGCGATTTTGCTCTTCAGTTCAGCCAATCTCTCCACTCTTTGAGCGTACAGTTGAACCAAACTCTTGGGCTTATCGGTGGCCACCTCTTCCTCCTGTCCTTCGTGGCCGACATCCATGTCTTGGGTTTGCATCGACTCATCCATAATGTCTTCGTTATTATCTGTTGAAAGCAAATGAGTGTCAAGTCTTGAGTTGTGTTGACATTGCATTCAAAGCACGTGTTTTGGTGTCAAACACATGACTCGACACGCATTGGGAGGCGAATAGAGGTCAGCACTGACTCAACACTGAGTCTGCATTCAAAGTGAGGTTTTGTTTACAATTCATTGTTTTGTTTGGCATTTAAATTGTCATTTCTGTCATCCGATTATTGATTGAACAGCGGATCAGTTGACAAGAAGTGAGACTTCAATAATGATTGCCATAAATGATATTTTGGATGATTTAAAGTCGGAAAACAAACGCCTTTTAAATGAGATATTATTTGCGAACAAATGTTTGAATGAATTGAAAACACATTTAAATAAAATTCACTCCAAATATGAGACACTCGTCGACGAAGAAGACAAACAACACTTCAGCCAATTGTCGCAACGATTGGATCAATTGAATGACAAGACATACGGAGACCAGTGTTTACTGAGATTAGGTGTGGTCGGCATCAGAGGCGACAACACTTACCACAAACACAACCGTCTCTTAAAGCGCGAACACAACGACGAGGAATGCACTCCAGAGACGGACACCACGAATGGCACAAGAGGTGGAACCAATGCCACGACCAAAGCGGACCGCATAAACATATTGAGACAAAAATATCTCAATACATGTGATAAAGACATCCGATTTGTTTGTCCTCTAAAAGGTTGCGACCGATCCTTCACTCGAGTCAAACAACTGATGACACATTTAATGAGAGTCCATAAGAAGGGATCAGTTAAGGCAGTGAAGGCCAAGACATCGACTCTACGCGTGTGGAGATGTCTATTACCTGAATGCCAACGAAATGGGATCTCCTTTTCGGGGAGACAGGGATTGAATGAACACAACAGACAATACCACGAAATGGATGTCGAGAAGCCGTTTGTGTGCACTCAAGAAGACTGCGATTTCAGGACGAAATACAAACACGCGATTCAATTGCATTTAGTTCAGAGGCACTCAATGGCTCGTCCGTATCGGTGCGAACACGAGGGCTGCGGCCGAACCTTCAAACTAGAGGCCGGTTTGCGGTCGCATTTGCGGACCCATAGCGAGGGCTCATTCGTTTGCACCGTCGAGGGCTGCGACCGACGGTTCCGACGCAAACACGAGCTCAGCATTCACTCCGCACAGCACACAAACATACCGTACCTGAAGTGCACTTCCGAGGGCTGCGGCCAACGCTTCTTCAACAGCTTCAGACTCCGCAAACACCAACAGGAGGTTCACAATCGGGTGGTCAACAAGTATAACCGGCAGTTTCAGCTGCGCTACGAATACCCGTGCGATTGGCCCGGATGTGATTACGTGGGCCACCATATTGTCCAACATAAACGGCTCCATACGGGAGAGTTGCCGTTTGTGTGCGATTGGCCCGATTGTGACAAACGGTTTCGCGTTATCCGCCATTTGAGAGATCACCAGAATATTCATAAGAATCTCAAGCCCTATACGTGTCATTGGCCCGGATGTCAGTACAGATGCGCTTCCGGCGGCAATATATGGAAACACATCAAAGAGAGTCATAAAAACCGATAATTTTCACCCATTATTTCATATGTATTTACATAAATCATATTTATTATATAAATAGTCATCATTTTATCAATTATTTACATGTATTGAGAGATTGTTTTAATTATGCGATCAATCGATGGATTCATTGATGGCTTTATAACAAAAGAGACTGCAAACTGGTTGTTGCGCTTTGGATGTGATGTACTTCTTCTCGTGTTCGCAGCCATCTCTGGCACACTTGACGTGAACATCAGTGGCCGGCGGCCGACGAACCACTCGCTGCGGCCATAGCTGTTGAAAAGACATGCCGTGAGGCAGACAAATGTAGACACCATTTTGGCTGTTATTGTATGTGATTCGTGGCGTTTCCACGCCCTTCTTCTTGCGTGCCTTCTGTGCCATCTCCTGCTTCTTCCGCAACAGCCGATCGATAGTGTCTTTCCTATCCTTTTCGCGCTTCTCCTCCGCCTGTTGTCGACGGCGTCGGTCTCTCACGAGCTTTCGCTCCACCATCTCATCCGACATCTCCTGTGCGGCCACTATTGACTTCGCGGTCTCCGTCTTCTCTTTGAGACACTTGTTCTCGAGGAGAGCCCTCTGACGAGCGGTCATAAGCTTCGGGTCTCTGATCCTTTTGAGCTCGTCGTCCACCTCATGAAGGCGTCCCTCTTCGAGCGCATCCAACCATTGCTCGTCTTCGTCGGCCGACTCCTCCTCTATCTCTTCGTCCAAATCCACGTCATCGTCGTCTTCGTCCACGTCGTCAACCTCTTCGTCCTCTTCTTCTTCTTCCTCCTCCTCTTCGTCATCGAAACTAACGGACAAATCCAAGAGATCCTCATTCGGTGACACTTCCGACACAGTATTGAGCGCTCGTATCGACGACTTGTTAACACTCTTCTCGCCGAGCGTTTGTCCGCCGATCTTAATGGTCAGCTTCAGGGGTGCGACCGCTCTCTCGGCGTTCATGTCATCGCCGGTCAGTGTCTTGTGGTCGTCGTCTTCCATGTCTTCATTTCGTTGTCTGTCATGCATGACATGTCGTTTGTGCTGAATGTGGATCTTCTGTCTCTTCACCGGGGAATCGACTCCCGGACTGATCCGTGGTTTCGATGACATATGGCTTGAGTTGCGAAACACATCCGAAAACTAAATGTTTTGCAAATGTATTATAAAATTGAAATTTTCATTAAAATCACAATTTGTTTGCAAATCAGTTGTGAATGAATGCAAACATTGGTTGGACTGACACTCAAATAGAGGTCAGCACTCGCTCTCACAGAAAACTTTTTGTCGCAAAGTTTTTTCATCACTTTTACCTCTAATTGTATTAAATTTTTGTGTTTAAAAATTGATTTAATTATAGGATATAAGGAATGATCGATAAATAGATAAATGTGAGACAATATGACAAATAATTTATTAAATTTACAAAACATGAACAATAATTAGTGAAATATAATACTGTATAAGAGTTTGTCTTTTGAAATAACACTAAAATAAAATGATCGATAAATAGATAAATGTGAGACAATATGACAAATAATTTATTAAATTTACAAAACATGAACAATAATTAGTGAAATATAATACTGTATAAGAGTTTGTCTTTTGAAATAACACTAAAATATACGTTAAAAAGCAAAACGACAAGAATTTTGTGGCTGAAGAAGAATAATTTAGCGGATCTCCAACTACTAAGACATCTGTTTGGGAGTTGATTGCGGACTCGCGGGTCGTGTGATAGCCTTCGGAGACGATTTGGTTGTCATCTCTCCGAACTGGGGTTCGGCCTCTGGTTTGAGCGGTTTGTTGGGCTTATATCGGGCGCCGATCTCTCGCCTCCGCTTTCTTTCTTTGGAGTCCATATAATAGTGTAAAGCAATGCTTAAAATGGTTAGTATTAAACCCAGTAATAGGAAAGCAGTCGGTGTTATGTAATCCTTTCGGGAATACTTTTTCACTATAAACCGATAGTGAGGAGGATTGAAGTCAAGAGCCACACCCGGAACCACTGGTGTCGTTTCGGTGGTTAACTCAGGCCATGGCTCAGTAGTATCTGAAGTATTAGTTACTACTGATGGAGAAGATATATTGGATGAAGAAGTCGTTACCAGAGTTGATGATAGTGTCGTCGGGAGAGAACCATTGGTAGCCATAGTCGTAGTCATAGTTATAGGAATAATTGCCGGCGTTTGAGGACTCGGTTGCTATTTAAGTAAGAAATATGTTATTTAAAATCTCGTATGAAATATAATAACTAAATACCTGTTCGGAAAGTATAACAAAACTTATAATTAAAACAATACTCTTAAACATTGAAAAATTCATAGCTTTCTCTGAAGTATTACTCTTAGAATACAATGAATGGTAAAATTTACATCATTTCCACAACTGCCAACATTAATCATTAAAATAATTGTTGATAAATCTTATGAATTATTTACAACAATTTTGAATCAAAGTTATAACTCGTGAAATTTAACAATTAATTACATTAAATTTAACAATACATAAAACCAACAAACATTAATTATAATCTATTATTATTAATAATTCAGTAAACATTAGTTAATAACAGTAATATATGCCTAATTTACAAAGTAATTATAATTATAAAACTAGAATCTATTTTAAACAATAAAGTATTGAATATAATAATTATAATCTATTATTATTAATAATTCAGTAAACATTAGTTAATAACAGTAATATATGCCTAATTTACAAAGTAATTATAATTATAAAACTAGAATCTATTTTAAACAATAAAGTATTGAATATAAAGTTAAGTATTATTGAATTGAAAACAGCAATTGAGATATATTTAATTGGCACATAAAATAGTAGCAGTTGTCCAGTTAAACCCGATCTCCAACTCTTTGGGACACAAATGTTTGTTCGAGTTATGAAGGCTTTGTAGTTATAGACAAATTGAGGCATTGGTCTGACAAAAATGTTTCCGCACAACAATACAGGTAAGAGTTTTAGAGGTTTTTTTTATAATGGGGTCTTTGAAAATAGTTTGAATGTATATAGAATTTCCATTTATCAGACCATTTCGTTTTTAATGTTTTTATTTTTAATTAAATTATACTGAATATAAAGTGAACTATAAATGTGTATAAATTATGAGTAAATAATATATTAATTTTGATAAATAAAAGAGCATTGAATTAAATGTTGAATGTATTGTTTTTGTGGGCATTCAGTGTCTGGTATAAGAATAATTGAGCGCTCGATGTGTTAAGCAGTCAATCGGAACTTTTCGGGAGATATGGTTCCGTCCGATTTGGTCGGCTTCACGATTACGCTTCCGGTATTGAGTTTTGCCAAATCATAACGCATTGATTCGACGGATCGGGTCTTCTTAGGCTTACCACTCGCGGGCTTTGCGTCGGGCTTTACTTTGGACGTGGGTTTCTCCGACTGGGCTTTCGGTTTCTCTGATAACACTTTCATTTTATTGATTCTCGTCATCTCTTTACGGCTCCCGACTGGCAGCTGACTCACGGCCTTCTGCTCATCGCTACC